GGGTTGTCTTGCTTTAGATTCTTAGTATTGACTGCAGACTTGGAAAGATGGTGTAGACTATCTTGAAAAAATAAATAAAATTAAATTTAAAAAAACCCTGTTTTGTGAGCTTCTACCCCCCACTTGAGGGCATTGTCTCTGTGATTTAGCCAAAGCTTTTCAAGTAGCTTAATGCAGTCGGCGGAGGGGAAGGGAAGTGTCATCTTTGCGTCAGTTCCAATTTTGTTGCAGATTCAATTTCCCTGTTAGGGTTTGTGGTGTATCTCGGGCCTTTGTGTGTGTCCGTCAGAAATGTTTGGCAGCACATTGCAGCAGGATTTCCAAAACTGGAAAAGCTCATTTTCATTTAGGAAAGAAACTTATAATATGTTTAGTTTTTTTATTTGCTTTGGGTAAGTCTTCCTAAATGCACATCACAAACTAGCTGCCCAGGCTGTCAATTCTTTTGTTGGAGATGGAGTTTGTTTAGGTCACTGGTGGCTTCGCTGACTCCACACACAGTTTCTTGACGATAAATTTTTACCATCTCTGTAGGACAGTTCATGTTCAATTGGTAGCTCCCCTGGATTGTGCATGATTGGAGTGAAATCTGCCTATTTAAAAAATGGACCAGGGAAATCTGGACTGTGGATGTGCCGTACAAAGAGAAGTCCCTGTGTACAGGGCCGCATTGAACTAAAGTGGCATTTCAGTCCTCTTGCGCAGTCTCTCTGAAAGTGGCAATGGCTGCAAACTGTTCTGACTGCAGGTTGGATATTGTTCTCCTAGCAAATTGCCACTGGGACCCTAAGCTAGTTTGGAGTATCCTTCCCAGAGTCTCTGGAGTCCACTGAAAGTGCAGGAAAGGCATGATCGTGGCTGCTTCCACTTCCCGCAGGATTGAGGTCTTGTTAAAACAGCCTTCCCTAAATTGCACATTTTCTTAAGTCTTTTCTATGTGCAGTTTTTCAGCACAGATCCATTTGGTAAACTACAGTTACCCAGTGGAGTACTAGGAGCATGAGTGAAGAGCTCTCCTTACCGGAGAGGGACATGCTGTGTGAGACCTGAGAATGTAAACTGGAGTGACTTTCTAGTCACCATGGATTAAGAATGAATGCTGTTTGCAGCTAGAACACAGGCCAGCTTCTAGGCTTTAAAGGCCTTGTTGTTTCCCTTAGTTTCTGTGCCTTATAGTTAATCATTCTGCTCTAGATCCCCTGGGGCAGCCCGGGTGGTCCCTGTTTGATGGGGCAAGGGAGGTGGTCCTGCTGCCGAGCCTGGCTGCTGACTGTATCTGTCTCCCACTCCTAAGAAGACTCTTGCTCTCCTCTGCAGATAGCAGCATTCAGAAGTACTCAACTTCTGGCCAGTAAGCAGCTGATGTCCTCGAACACTGCTGGCATGCTGCCTCTCATAAGAACATTGCCTCTCTTATAACCTCCCAGCATAAATGAGAGAAACCAGTGACTTGCAGATGGATTGGCCTTAACCGTGATGCAGATGATGTATGCCCAGTACACGCTTACAAGAGTCCAGTTGCATGAATTATATTTTAACTCGGTGAAAACATTTTGTTTGAAAACTTCTTTTAATAGAGGCTAAAGTTTTTTTACTTCTTCCCTAACCCCATAGAAACAAGCACTTAAATTCTGTCACAATCCAACTCTTTGCTCTGTATCCCTCCCGCTGTCTACATCAAGAAATCATAAATTTATGCTTTGTAACATTTTTTTTGATTTGGCTGTTCCCATAGTCAGTGTTGTGGCTCATCAGGGGAGTTGTGAGCCCAAAAGACATTCACTGAACCAGCATGCATGCAGTCATGAGCCAACCCAGAGCTGGGTTGTGTGCACCTTGAAGTGTAGATGCAGCCCAAAAAGATCAGAGACTGTTGCTTTCTACTGAAAACAGACTAGTTATATTCACCAGTCACTTGTCATTTCAGACCTTTGTGTTTGATCCATGGTTGTCAGGCTTAAAACATGGTAGGACAATATTTGAACTTAAACAGGGTTTATTTAAAAACTAAAAATTCATAGCAAGTCAGCTAAGATTTTGTAGACTGTTGTCTTTGCAACTTGGGACCTAAATGCCAGTATCTTGTTGAAAGGTATATTTTTGCAGATCATTCTAAAAACCTTGTGAATGTTTGAGAATAATTTGCAAAAAAAAAAAAAAAAGCATCAGTAGAGGGCACTACAGAGCTGCCTAGATCATTGGCCATTGCATAAGAGGAATTTGAATTGTTGTTGAGCATGATTCACCTGTACCTAATTTTGGCATCTGCGTTTTTAGTCCCTCTGTAGTAAGAGCTAATGGATAGGGTTCCAGGCCAACAGAGACCTCTGCAAATGGCCAAGTACTGAACGTCTCTCGCTGTGCTTCTGCACTGATGCAGTGATTCACCACGCTTTTGGCAGTCTCTCCTAGATATTATCCGTTTCCCTCTTATGGTGATGGATGTA